TTGACACTACAACCGTTCCGATGGGTTGTTCAGTTCCATCTAGGTTGTGAACCAACAATTCTTGTTTCACAAGTAACTGATATAGTGATCTTCGGTACGCCCGATGACGACCCACTTATCTACATGCAAAACAACAGAACGTGGAACTTATTTGACCAAACATAATTCTCATTCATCAAGGAATAACAAGTGTAATATCCACTAAAGCAAAGCTTAAGTATATAACACCAACAGAGAAAGCTCGATAAATTCTGCGAAAAGTACAACATTAGACATTTCTTTTCTTCCCCATATCACTCGCAATCCAACGGACAAGTTGAAGCGGTGAACAAGATTATCAAAAACGGTTTGAAAACCCGACTTGATGCCGCCAAAGGAGCTTGGCCCGAAGAACTACCACATGTCCTTTGGGCTTATCGAACAACTTCCCGTGTGTCAACTGGTGAAACACCTTTCTCACTCACATATGGAATGGAAGCCATGGTATCCGTTGAAGTCGGATTTCCAACATACCGAGTACAATGTTTTACCGAGGCCACGAATTTCGAGAACATTAAAGCTAATCTTGATCTAGTAGAAGAGACCCGAACCCGAGCTAAAATACGAAACATTGCATATAAACGTCGGAGTGAAAGATACATTAATGCCAAAGTCAGACCCCGAGTGTACTGAATCGGTGATTTAGTACTCAAAAGGATTACCGGACCTGATCCCGAGCTGTTAAAACCGAAATGGGAAGGGCCCTTCAAAATTAGTCAAGTCTTACCAAATGGAACTTATCGACTCGAGTATCCTGACAGGACTTTGCATCAATATCCATGGAACGCCGTCTTCCTTAAAAGATACTATCAGTGACGAAGAACATAACGATGTAAATATTCCATTTGCTTTGTCTCATATTATAATAAACTAATTTCATCCTACTTTTTCCTATTATGATTTCTTCATCAGACCCTGAAGTTGGTCTGCTAAAAGGCTGCTCTTTTACCAAATCTTGAAGATGATTTGGTAAGGTTCGTTCTTTATTCGGGTCCTAAAGATGATCCGACTTGGCCACATTCCTTTCAAATCCTAAAGATGGTTTGACGTGGTCAATTTTCTTTCCAAATTCCTAAGAAAATTTTGTGAACCTCGTCCTTTTGCCAATCGCATACGACGATTTGGCATGGCCGTTCTTTGTAAAGGCACTTGCAGGTGCCGGGGATAGTTCATCTCCTATGAATGCCCTCCAGTTGGCTTTGATGAACTCCTCGATTGAAATCAGAAAAGCAATAAACCGATCCTCTTAAATTCGAATTCCTTAATTTATGCTGGAAACAAATGAAAACCGACGTTCTTAATTATCTCCAAATGAACGTTTCTTTTATCTCGGTATTGGAAATTTTGAATATGTTCACCTTTTATCTGAATTATTCTTGATTTAAAAAGGATTTTCTTTATTGTAACTTCATCTTAAAATCCAAAACCGAGATAAAGGACTTCTTACTTTTGTCTTACTTAAATCCTATTTAATTGCTATTTAATTGGGTCGGCGGAAGGAGCAAACCACGCAAAAATAACTTGAACACAAAATTGTCTTACATTCAGAGTACCGACATGTTGGCACTGTTCCCAAAAAAAAAGAAAGAAACAAAAAAACAGCGCAACTAAAGTAGAAGCAAAGATCAGGCAGTCCCCGACGTTCCAGCCCCGTCGTCTCCGTATTTGTCATTTATCTTCTTTAAGGACTTCACATCTTCTTTCTCCAATCATTCCAACATTGTCGTGCCAAATACGTCCAACATGGCGTCTTCTTTTGCCTTGGCCACTGTCTAGATCACTTCTTCAGAGAAAATCTCCTCCTCAGTCTGGATTTCCAAAGTCGTGATCGGCTGCATCAGTTTAGCAGTTGATAACTCTTTAATCTTCCTTGCTGCGAAGTCCAGTACCGCTTGACAGAGTTTCTCGGGAGA